CTCAAAATTAAATAACTTACAATTGATCTTCATCATGTGCAGTAGAAAGCAACCAGAAATTACAGGGTGCCCAATCAACTAACAGAAGTCGAATTTTTGGCACAGCTGTTTTCATTGTTGGATCATTATTTATGTATTACTCAAAATGAATAACTTACAATTGATCTTCATTAAGTGTAGTATGGATAGCAACCAGAAATTACAGGGTGCCCAATCAACAAACAGAAGTCCAATTTTTGGCACAGCTGTTTTCATTGCTGGATCATTATTTGTTGCATGAAAAAATGCAATGAAATCGGAAGAGAGTTATATATGCTGTTGAACAGCACTACAGGGTTGCCAAATGATGGGGCGAGTAGAAAAAAGTTTAATTTGGAATTTATTGTTGGAACTTTGTTATTGGATCTATTTCGAAACTTATGAACCAACCCATCGTAAATATATATATATGTATATATTTTTTTTATATTAAGAATATAATTCCGCCTTTGATGGGATCTTGATATTTAACATTAACGAATCATTGTGTTGCGTCCGCAGGTATTACGGAAGCGCTGAGAAAGTGATGTCACCTGTGCTGACCGGGTTCGTTGTCCTGGCCGCAATGGCGTATTGCGGTGAGGTTGATTCCTTCATTCATTACATGAGACACGTTTTTTCTGATGAAGGATATATGATATGTATCTTGCATTAATTTCGAGTCTTGTAATTATAATCAGTGCATTATAGTTATGCCGGTTAAAACTAGCTATATTGCAGGGGTACTGTACTCTGTGCTGCAACAATTTTCTCTGTGCAATAATTGCTTTTTTTTGTTGGAGTGTTGGTCCCATCATAGGGTTCTCTCCCCATATTGTAAGGGTACTCTGCAACAAATTTGTACCTGCATGATGGTCCCTTGCATTTTGCCATAGAGAGAGCACCCAAATGAATGGAAAATATTAATACCTGTATATGGTAAAAATACCCAATAAAACGTTTCTCTTGATGCCATTTCACCGAATTGAATGGAAAATATTAATACTGTATATGGTAAAAAATATTCAATAAAACGTTTCTCTTGATGCCATTTAAGTGGAACTTTCTTTGCAAACATTTTTGTGAATTTTTTAATATTTCAATTTTTCTTGAAATGTTTATTGAATATTTCAATTTTTCTTGAAATGTTTATAGAATATTTCAATTTTTCTTGAAATTTTTATTGAATATTTCAATAAAATGTTTCACTTTTATCCATATTTTTTAAATCAATTTTTAATTTGATATCAATTTTCAATTTTTTATAGATTTTCAAAGTTTTATCAATTTTTAAATTGTTAGAAGTCAATTTTAACTTTTTATGAATTTTTACTTTTTTATTAATTTTTACATTTTCCTTATTATTTTTAGTTTTTATTGATTTTTACCCTTCTATTAATTTTTAATTATTATTAATTATTAATTTTTATTTATTTATTTTTCTTTTTTATATTAATGTCATTTTTTATTAATTTTTTACTTACTAATAGTAATTTTCATGGTTTTATTTATTTCTGCTTTTTTATTAATGTTCTATTTTTTCAATTTTCACTATTTTAGTATTTTTCAATTTTCACTATTTTAGTATTTTTCAATTTTCACTATTTAGTATTTTTCAATTTTTTTAGTAATTTTCAATTTTTTTAGTAATTTTCACTATTTTAGTAAATTTTACTGCTTAATACATATTTACTTCTTTATTACAGTACTTTAATTTTTTTCAATTAATTTTTTACTTTTTATTTCATTTTATTCTTCAACAATTGGTTCAACTATTTGTTGTATAGAGTCATTAACTGCAGTACAGTATAATGCAATCTGGAATCCCTGATTATTGCAGGTGAGGCCCAGTATTTCAGCCAGCAGCCCTTATACTATGCTGGTGATCAACAACAACAACAACAACAACAACCACAACAGCGCCCCCAACGCGTGCTGGTCCAGCAGCAGCAGCAACCCCGTCGTCAACCCGTCCTGCAGCAAGTCTACAAGCCCCAGGACTTCTTCCAGCAACCCTACGAACCCCAATTCGGTGCCCAGCAACTGCGTCCAATATCATCACCCGTCAACCCGGCCCAACGAAACGGGGCCGCCCGTCAACTGTCGTCTTCTTCGTCTTCCGGTTGCCCGGACGAGTACCCCACCGAGGACCCGAGCCAATGCGACAAATACTACGCTTGCGAAAACGGGGAACGGGTGGAAAAGCTGTGTGCGGACGGGCTGGTGTTCAATCCCAGGGTGTCCAGGTCGAGACGGAATGACCCCTGTTTCTACCCGCAAGAGGTCGAATGCGGGTCGAGATCTGAACGTCGTGAGTAAAATATATATAAAACAGTACTGTATTTATAGCGAATTTACTACTGGAGAACCTCGATAACCAGAGCCGGCCCTGGGGTGTGGGAGGCGCCTTTGTGCAAGAACAAATTTGGCGCCCTTTGAAAAAAAAGAATGAGAATGTTAGCAGGGATCATAATACAGAATGATTAATGCTATTTGATTGTTCTAGAATCTAGAGTACAGTACTAAAACACACTATATATACAGTAACATGCATATATGAGGAAGGCAAAGAATGATATTACAATAAAATCCTGTTACAAAAAAATGTGTGGGACTTATGAAAAAGTTTGTTTCACAAAATAATTTGTTATAACAAGAATTTGAAATTTATTGGAAGATTAGAAGATTTGTTTTTCAAAACAGACCTGCACGTATTCTAAATCACCCTTGCAGATATTTTTCAGTGCATAAAAAACTGATCTTCTAAAATAAATTCAATTCTTAATGAAAAAATTTAACTGGAAGGGATATGTGAACACTAGGAGGTTCAAGGAAGTTATTGACAATAACTTCCTTGAACCTCCGTAAGTCGAAAACCCTCCAAGTCGAATTTTTCTTCAGGTCCTGTCTGAATCCCTTTAGAACTGATGCATTTGAAACCTCCCTAAGTCGAAGGCTTTTTCCCTCAAACCTCAGTAAGTCAAATTTTCTGTGGCCTGTTGGTTTTTATTTTCTTGACACAGGAAAGAAAAAATGCAATAAAACATGAATTGATATGTTTTAAAATGAGGTGAGAGACTTGATTGAGCAAATGAACCCTGCCTGCAAGTTCAGGATGCTTTCAACTCATTTGAGAAGTAATTTCAGCCTCAGAAGATTACAATTTACAATTTTGAGCAATTTTTATATGTTTCCCAACACAAAAGGGCTTTTTATTGTAGATAAATTCAAAATGTCTGAATCCCCTTAGAACTAATGCATTTGAAACCTCCCTAAGTCGAAGGCTTTTTCCCTCAAACCTCCATAAGTCAAATTTTCTGTGGCCTGTTGGCTTTTATTTTCTTGAAACAGGAAAGAAAAAATGCAATAAAACATGAATTGATTTGTTTTAAAATGAGGTGAGAGACTTAATTGGGCAAATGAACCCTGCCTGCAAGTTCAGGATGCTTTCAATTCATTTGAGAAGTAATTTCAGCCTCAGAGGATTACAATTTGCAATTTTGAGCAATTTTTATATGTTTCCCCACACAAAAGGGCTTTTTATTGTAGATAAATTCAAAACCTCCCTATGTCAAATTTTTTGCTGGTCCCTTGAAGTTTGACTTAGAGAGGTTCAATGGTATTATTATTTTTTTTAACATTTAAATTGAAATTGGGGAGACATTTTGTATTTTTTCAGTGTTTAGGTGTACGCGTAGTTATATATAGTGAGACCCCCACATATGGACACCTTGACATGCTGACAATTTGACATACGGACACTTATTTTCCAATGAAAAATTAATCAAAAAAAGGCCCAACATGAGGAAACTGACTCAACATAGGGACATTTTGCAATAAAAATTGCAAATACATTTCAGGCCAAATTACAAGAAACAGATATTTCAAACCATAAAATTGATGTAAGAAAGTTCTTGGGCATTTCTCTCACCAATTCACCATCCATTTAGCTAATTTAAGAAAAATTACTGCCAGTACAGAGGGACTTCCTTATCTCTTTTTCACTTGAATTTTATTTTTTTACAGAGATTATTGCCAACATTTCTATGTACTGTATAGAGGTATCAGTATTCAATTCCCCAAATGTCCATATTGTGTTTAAATATATTTATTGGAATCAGTTTAAATTTGGAGACAATTTTTATTTTCATGGAATTATGGTGAGTATTTTGTCCGTAAAATAACAGTTAAAAATTATATGATGTAAATCTGAGGGAAAATGTGACAAAATGTAGGGACATTTTGACTTAGGGATGCTCTTGATGCACCAATTATGTCTGCATCTCAGGGTCTCACTGTATGCTGTATACACAGAGGCCTTGTTAAGGGTCCCAGAGACCTTGCTGACAAAGACTTGGATTTCTGTGAAATAAAGTGTTGCAGACACAATCAGCTGTTTGCAGTCTGAGGGTTTCAAACTCCTCCACAAACGTACTATTGTATATATGTTCTTTTCCAATAATTCAGAGGTTCAAAAATGTCACACAGGAAAAACAGGTCTGTTCACTCTGAGGTTAGTCTTGAGAAATTCAGATCATTTACTCATAATTAAGGATTATGATTCATTTTGTTACCAACTGCAAAGAAATTTCATGGTACGCACCTGTTTTTCTAGACTTGATATTCTATTTCATTTTATTTACCTAATAAGAAATCATCAATGAAGCAGATATATTGGCTTTAAAATGTTTATACAATAAGGCACCTTAAAATACAGTATAATAAAGACTCTGCTAAATTTTAAAAACCGTATTTAGCTAATGTTTTGTCTCGCATAAATACGAAAATATCTCGTCATTCTGTAATTTTGGCTGTGCTGAAGACATACGATGGTGGGTTTTTGTTGTTGAAAATTGCGTTTCGCAAGAATGATGATTATTCGTATTCGCAGAGCCCGCTCAACCTTCGGACCAGTGCCCACACCAATTCGCACTTTTTGGAACTGGCGACCGGGCCAACTGTGGTCAGTATGTGAGCTGTGCCAACGGGGTCGCTTACACACTGCCTTGCCCTGCTGACCTGGCCTTCTCTGATGACACTGGCCGCTGCGAATGGCCTGATGAAGTCAGGACTTGTGATGCTTCAGGTTGGAGAAATTAAAAAAAATAATACAAATAAAATACAGTCAGACCCCCTTAAGTCAGAGGGAACTTATTGAAAGAATTTTTGACTGAAGTACAGTATACTGATGTAGTTTTAAGAGTTGGAGCAACTGGCATTTTTGGTGGGGGAAAAAATTATGAAAAATGGTAGTAAGTGATTTTTTGGGGGCCTCTATATATTACTGTTGAGAAAATGAGTTGGAAGGATGTTGATGGCAAAAAAAAGTTTTCTGAGGTTATACAGTTAAATGTTTTGTTTTGTGCTTGTCATCAGGAATATGGAATGCATCATTTTCAGTACTTTAATTTGAGGGGAATCTTGTTTTGCAAATCAAATAAAAAGATTGCTTCCAGGAACAATAGATAAGATTTGTCATCATGTGAGATTCATTGGTGTCCCTGCAAAGATGTGCCCTCAAGATTTTTACATTCTGTGTATATATGCACTTAATCTCCACAGCATACCTGCAGTTCTCATGCCCCCCACCATCTGCTGAGGGTGCCTTGGACTACTACCCTGACCCCAGTGACCGCAGAAGGTTCTTTGTCTGTGTTGATGGGCTTCCAAGGAGAATCACTTGTGGAGAAGACTCTGAATACAACCCTGAAACCCAGACCTGCTATGGTGGGCCTGAGAGCGCGGAGAGGTAAAATTCTCTAATGTTCAACTACTGTTTGCAGTATAATGAATTTTCAAAGATCAGCTGACTGGCCCCCAAAGAGGAAAAATTTCATGGCAGATGTTCTCATGTCAATTCAACAACAACAAAAATCTGAGAAATATCTCACATTTTCCCAAACATTTGTGGTAATTATATACAGTATTCTTAGTTTATCATTTTGCCTTTCAATGAGGATGCATGGCAGGAATAGATACCCAAGTGCGGAGCTAATTTTGCTGTGACCCCACAGTAGGTGCACATCACCCGGGTCACAACTGGAGCATATGGGATATTCTGGGGGTACAAGTGTGCACTCCTGTAGAGGAAATTTTGCTACCATTCCAGGGTTACACTTGGTGCACAAATGTGAAATAACAGGAGCATCACACAAATCCACCACCTGTAACCTTGGTGTAACTTATTTGTTTACAAATGTGACCCTGAGTAATCCTGGTGTGAACACACAATTGGTGCACATTGGGGATANCAGAAGAACTCTGGTACACTTCAGGTGCACAGCAGGGTCACTGTGTAGAATTACAAACAAATCCCCAGTGTGCACCAATTTCCCCACTCGGGTAATTTCATGAAGTTGTTATCCTTTTTTGCATTCAAAGGTTGAACTAATTTTGCTCATATCTTCTGAAATTTTTCAATCAAATTATCTTATTTTAATTTTTGCTTGAACCCATACCTCTGTTACATTCAACTGACACAATCATGTAATAAAAAATGGGCCAGTACAACATCTGTACTCAATTCAAATGTGAGTTGAATTGTCCTCAAAACGAATTTAAATTTTGGACACTATTGCAAGTAAATATAGTGAAATGATGAAAATCATTCATGCATTCACTGTGTATAAGGAGTGCAGGATTTGTGCAATTGCAGGTAGTCTTTCTACATAATCTTGTTGCCAATTTTCTCTTTATAAAACTTCTGTTCTATAAGATTTTCCCATGTTAAGGGGTTCTGTAAAAAAAATTTTTCTTGGTCTCATGGTTTTTGTTGATGATGAGAAGTCCACCTATACTTCATATCATGCATCAGAGTTCTGCCATTTATAATCTATGTCTACATGTGTCTAGTTTATTGTTTATTTCTCTTCTTTGTTTCAGGGCTAATTATGCTGGAAACGGCCAGAACTTCATCAAGTAGGAAGCAGCAGTGACATGCCTTGACCTTTTTGTTTAAACCTGTTTTTATACAGATCTCTGAAGAAAAATTTTAGTTTCTTGCCATGACTTGTTCTTGCTGGAAGTTCTGTGCTAAATTGCTAGGTGCTCACTCAGCACAAATTTTCAGCTGAAAAATAAAAAAGATGTTCTCTGAATTGGAATTCAGTGACAGTCTGCAAGTCTGAAGAGAGGGATTTTTTTCTGGGTTGAGAAAAATGCTCAGACAGTGTTTCAAAAGTTTACTCAAACTTTCGTTGGTCTGAATAAAGGTGAGAATTCCGAAAAAATTGCGTTTTAGTTTTGAAAGAAATGTGTTCCTTGGAAATTGCAGTACCTTATACCTACCTTTAGTATTGTGTACACATGCGCATTGATTGTCTAGCAGAAAAGGTAGTTAAACATTATTACAGCAGAAGACATGAACCACAGGTTTTAGTGAAAAATGTTCAGAACTCAAAAATCAAACTGTTCGAAGTACAGAAGAATTTCATTAAAACAAATCTCGTTAAAACAGATATTCAGTTACAAAAATTGTTTTTCAGGTCACCCACTGTCCAAAAGCTGCGATGTTCTTTGAGTTCCCTTGAAACCATTGAAAAAAAATATATATATACTTTACTGGTCCCAATGGTTTTGTTTTAGTAAGATTTTCTTGAATCAATTTGATATCAAGAAGATAATTAAATTGGATTCAATTTACTTTGATTTCCTATTCTGTTCGTACTGTGATCCAAGGATAATTCACAAGAATTTTGGATATTACTCTAGTACGGCATGTAACCTACTTTCTGATGTCAATTTTTGGTGGGAAAAGTGCACAGGGTACTTGAATAAATCAGGTACTACTTTTTAAATACAGCACCTGCATAACAAGCTCCAACATTTGCAACATCTCTGTCACCACCTGACAGGTTACCCAGGTACCAGTGTGGTGGTACACCACCAGCAGCTGAAAAGCCCTCCTCAATAGCAGAAAGCAGCGCCATCTGCCCCCAAGGATGAGCAGAACAAAAAAAGGAATCAAACTCCAACACAAACACACACACACACAGAAGCTGCTGCGAATCATGTTATACATTCAACTGATCCTCGATATGAAGGGTACGAAAAGTCAACAGCATTGACAAATGATTTCTTCTCTTTCTGGAGAATCACGCCTCAACAGCAACCCACACTGCAGCGAGCATCATTCATTTTTTTCTGGCAGTAAACGGCGTGAAAGGGAGAACATGACGTTCCTGACCATGATTCAACACTATACAGCTAAAAAAAACGTGAGATTCCCAGCAATAAGGCGGCGCAGCAGACACCCCAATGCTATATCACAACACCGCCTGCTTGCCACCGTTTTTTTTTTGTCTTTGTTTTTGTTCCCCATCGCTGCTTTCTCTCTCTCTCTCAAATAACAAAAACAAAAAAATGCACGCCTCAGAACAAGCAGAAAAAAAACAGAAGACGACATCACAACACGGAGGAAGCTTGAACACTTTCTTTGGAAACCTCGCTTCTTCCACCCATGTCCAAACAGCTAGAAAATATTCCGTTCGTTTTGTTTTTTTTTTCCTTTACTCCCAGCATGGCAGTGAGCTTCGCCAGAGAAATCATTTTCCAACAACAAACGAATCCGAAACTTCGGGGGGAAAAAAAAGAGGGAATTCCCATAATGACTCGATGCTCCTCAAACAAACCAACAAATCAGGAAGATCGCCGAATATACGAGCGTATTTCTTTCCCCCCCCCCCCCCCCCCCCCCGCCCCCCAATATACGGGCGTTTTTTTTTCCCCCCCCCCCCCCCATTTTCATGCCCTTGAGAAGCGGGCACACGACTTCGCGATGAACTTTCAAGACGTGAAACTTTGAAATTCCATCGCATGAACATCACCGAAACAGGCTACGAAACACTCCGCACCAACCGACGTTGTTAAATCAGCCGTTGCACAGAATACGAGGGGATTTTTCATGCCATTTTGAAACTCACTTCAACCCGTCACTGGAATCAAACAATACATTTTTTTTTTCTTGGATCTGTCTAAATGACAACAAGACACGTCAGAACGCAATGAAGACAAGTAACACATTTGTTGATGAGAAAACCGAGTTATTTAGGATTAATTTTACAGTTCCTTGTGATCACATGGCATGCATCTGTTGGGAAACCCACACATACCCGCCGAATAATGATAAAATTAAAATTAAAAAAAAAAAAAAAAAAAAAAACCTAGCATCCGATAAAAAAACCAACCCTCAAAGGGAAGGAACTCCTCAAGGAAAATTACGAAACTGGAAAACACAACAAAAACCAGATTCAATTTCCGTTTTCCTCTCTGGTCCACCGAAGAACAAAATTCAAGACACATTAGCCATCAAACTTTTGCTGTGTGTAGTGTCCAAAAATTACGAATTTCAAAGAGTTCTGCTGAGTTGTGTAAGTGTTGCTGAAGTTATCTACTCAAAATTTGTGCGTTGGAACAAAAATTGAAATACAATTGAAATATTTTTAAATAGGAAATCCTAAAAGGATTCATGGCCTAGTCCCACGCTGATTCTTCCTTTCATTTCTTGAATTTCGAACTTCACTTTATTCTTCATTTTTAGATCCACGAGCAATTTCTTTCACATTCATGTTGAGGTTCGTTATTCAATAGCATTGCCGAGCTGTTTGTCAAATCCTCCTCCATCAATCAGGGTTCCTCGTTTATTGCCATCGCAACTACTGTCAAATATCTTGCATTTTCACATTTTGCGGCACTCCGTCCACTGAACTACGCATTCCTTGCGATGAAGTTGACCATTTTAAACTTTCTCTCGAGGGTGAAGGTAGTGTATTTTACATTTTTACAATGCCAGCATGTTATCAAACGCGAAGACATTTTAAATTCATTCCATGTCAAAAAAAAAACCTTCAACTCTGGTGAATATTCGAAGTCTAAAAATGAATTTTAAAAAACCTGGGCAATGATTTCACGCAACACCAAACCATCCCATTCGTTGTCATTTGAAAAAAAACGAAACCTTGCGTGCACAGACAAACGTTCGCTGAACTTTATTCAAAATTTTAAAATGCTGACATTACTCGATCCAAATTTTCGCAAAATTTTGTAATTAGTTCATGGTATTGAAAATGAGAGAAAATTTTACTGCGCAAGCAAGGTATTCAGTGAGCTCTTCGCCGAAGTCCAGTTGATATACAGTACCATTAATTTAATTTTTCGTTGATTTCTTGTTTCCATTGCAGTCTCGCGAGAAAAATACAATTCAGGGTTGCTCAGAAAATGAGAAAATGCTAGAGAAAGTTACAGAGTCCCTTTTTGATAATTTACTACCTCCATGATCGTCGGATCGATTTCCATAATTTCACGAAAAGACTCTTGCACTGTACAAGAGTCATCAAGACAATTGACGCATCAATTTATGATGCGCATAACGTGACTGATATTTAAAATCACAAGAGATCCCGGACGCAGGAGGAAAACAAAAATCACTTTCATCCAGACGACCGACAAACAAATTATTGACGAAGGTCTTCGCTGAAGTCCAGTTTATTCACTTACATTTACTCGTTCGCTTATTTCTTGTCTTCATTGCAATCCGGCCAGTAAGATAAAATTCAGGGCTGGTCGGAAAATAACGAGGGAATACGAGAGAAGGTTAAGGAGTCCACTTCTGGTTATCGACTGCCTCATCCAGCGATCTCGTCGAATCGATTTCCAAAACTTCACGAAAAGTCTCTCGTACTGCACAATACATGATACAATTGACGTTTCAATTTACGATGCGAATAACGTGACTGATTTTTTAAAAATCACTAGAGATCCCGGACGCAGGAGGAAAAAAATAAAGAAAGAAGAAAAAAAAAACTGCCATCTACACACGACCACCGACAACAACGAAAAACGACGGAATATTGTTTTTTTTTTCTCGCCCGCTCGACCGGTAAATTAAAAATAGGCAAATGCAATGATCAATAAGCATCACAGAGATCCTGAGTCCTCGGCTCAAAATACCGGGCCGGTGCGAATGTCAGAACTTGGCCGCCGTATCAGGCACCAAGTAAAATACCTGCCCAGTGGTCTTGGAAATCCTCTTCCCGAACACCGGCGTCCCGGCGACCCAGGAATCCTCGCACTCTTGCTTTGGCACAACGTCACTGGGGAACACGTCCCGCAACACTCCGTCGTCGTCGTCGTCGTCAGACGACAACAACGCCAACGACGACGCCGACTCCTGACGATGATGATGAGACAAGGCCTGAATGGCGGCTAATTTGGCAGAGACGCAGTCCTGAAGCGGATCCGACTTTTGCACAAATTTGCCCTTCTTCAGGACGCGGACTTTGGGCTCCTCCTTCACCTGTTCTCGCTTGGAGAGTTGCTTTGGTTCTCGTTTGCCGGCAAACTGCGACGCGAGTTTGCAGTTGACCGACTTTTTCATCACGCTGCCGTCTGCTGCTGTTGCCGACGATGAGGCGGCGGCGGTCAATGATTTAGAGCTGTCGGCGGTCTTCTTTTTGGCAGCTCGCTCGTCTTTGCCAACGGACGATACGGAATCGTCATCACACAAAGAGCTGCGAGAGTCTTCATCGACGGATTCGCTGCGATCGAAGGAGATCCGACGCTTGGTCGCTTCAACTCCGTTCACCACCGGTTCTGAGACTCGTTGTCTCAACGACATCCTGGAAGGAGAAGTTGACAAACTGAAAATTTTAGCTTCCAGCGAGGGTTTCCGAGATGACCAGCTAGGCTCTCGTTTCAAAACTATTCGTCCTTCCTTCAATACAGGTCATATCGATTTAAAATATACATGTTCTTTGAAACAAATCTGACATTACCATGCTTGCACGGGTTTAGGTCGCACAATAACACTGCGTGGCCATTCAATTTCAAAAGCTGCACAGTACTATATATGAAAAATACGGCAGGAAATTTAGAAATTTCGGACCGTTTTGCGTTTAGATTCATGGGAAGAATAATTTGCAACACATATTCAGGTAGTCAAACCTCAAATTAATTTCATAACTCGTCCTGGCACAGTTTGTGACTCGAAGTGAGGGCAGCACTAGATTGAGGGTATTGCTCGAGAGGAAGGCTCAGATGAGGGTTTCTACTTCAGGCAAAATAATCTTGTTCACAGAATATGTGAAGCCACTGCAATCGTTTTATGACAGTGAAAGCCACATTAAATAATTTGAAGCTAAAATGTGATGTTTTTACACTCTATTTGAATTATTTCAATATATTTTATAAGACAGGAAATACAGTATTTACTTGAGTACCAAGCATGCTCAAGTACAACGCGCACCAAGTTTTTTCAGTCTGAAATGTAGATTGAATTGTATCCCTGAGTAAAACATGCACCCCATCTGCAGTGACCCTAAAACTGCAATATTTCAAAATTTAAAAAAAATTGTACACAAATTTTAATTCAGACATGAATCAAATCTGAATTTGACCAATTCTCAATTGTTCCAATAAAAATGAGCTTTCTTGATGAACATTTCATATTGGAATAAAATATAAGGCAAACCTAAAATGTGAAACATTTATACCCACCTTTGACACACAACCCCGTTTTTCCCCGCAATATTGAGAAAAAAAAACAAGGTGTACTTGAGTAGATACCGTATTATATGTATATTTTTTTACACATATCGAGGCAAGAGTAGAGCTGTTCTTGAGGTTTAGTTTGCTTTTCAGTTTTATACCAAGAACCATCTTTAAGCAAGCATCAATGCTTTTAGGAAAGCTCCTGCCTTATACTTTAAAGTTCTCAAAAGTTGCCAATGAACAACACCAATATTTAAAAGAATATCACTTCAGAAATAGAACGTCCGGAATTCTTCCGAGTTTTTACGTGCGCATGGGCTTGTGATTCTCAGTAATTACCCAATGAGACCTCTAAAAAAAACGTGATTTTTTGGTATATTTTTCTTAGTCCTAATCAAGTTGGCAAAAAATTAGGGCTTCCTTCAAGGACACAGTTGAGAGAGATTTGTTCCCAGAACATTTGTGGCACTAAATGGAATTCTGACTGTAATTTATTTTTAAAATACAGTAGAATCTCCTTACAACGAATTATTGATTACAACGAGGTCGTTTTCAGGTCCCTGCCCAATAGCAATTATTTTATTCGAAATACTTTATGATGAATTCCTCCTTAGAACGAAGCTGTTATCTCAGTTCCAACAGCTTCACTGTAACGAGATTTTACAGTAAATGCTCTCCCTGATCTTCTTCCCTGCTGCTTAAGAAATATACCTCGAAGACTTTCCGGTTTCCTCTGCCGCAACTACCGTCGCCGCCGCCGCCTCTTCATCCACTTTCGTCGTCCGAACACTCTTCGCTCTCACAATTTCCCGCGATTTACTGCATATCACTCCTGCACCACTACTTTCTTCCGACAACCCTGTTTCCTCCGACGGGACCGGGATTCTATCACAAAACAGGATCGATATCAGTCCCACGGCAGGGAGAATATTATCAAGAGCTAGAAAACTCACGGAAACAAATGATCCATGATTTGCTTCAAATCCACGGCAGTCGGATCGGTGCGGGCAGCAAAGTCGAGAGTTTTCCAATTGATGTCTTTTATGCTCTCTGGGATGCGAAGTGGAGGAGGGCCAAGGGGAACGTAGAATTTGCTTTTGAGCGACCAACTGTCTTCTGCACTCGGATTCTCTGCTTTGCGATATTTCATCGGATTCTTCGCCAGAGTCGTTGCTATCATGCGACGCTTGTTGTTGTGGAAAGACATCTTATCCTTCCGAACAAAGAAAAAAAAGAGAACAGACGCAACCTTCATTAAAAATTGATAAAGGAAAGGAACGTTTCGGCACTTCCTTAGAATGAAATGAATTTTGAAATCTAGAAGGGAAAAGTAATCCCCCCCCTCCCCCATACCTCATCAGTTCCTCTACTACGATTATTTGTATTTCCACTGACCGATTCAACTTCTTACCTGAATCAGTCAATCAAAATATCACGAAAATATTTTGGTCAATCCAAGCGTTACGAAAATAAAGTTGAATCAGAAATTAATTTGGGTACACAAGCTTCTGAGTTATTCAGAATCACCAAAAACGCGGGAAGATAAATAACAAGATACAAATCGAGGGTCGGCTTATTTTTAGAGTACTATACATAATTTTCTTGTTGTTTTCATTCGCAGAATTGACTTCTGTTAGACCAATCCGATACTCGACACTTTCTGCCGAAGTCGGAATAATTTTTAGTGACGATCCATGACTGTCAGACCACGAACATCATGACCGAGAAGATTTCGACATTCGAAATATTTTGTTACCTCGTCGATCGAACATGCAAGCGTGAAAGGTACATCTCATTTTTCTGTATTGATGGGTTACATTTTAGATGTCTACCTCCTCTCTGTCTCAATCTTGTGGGAGAAAACTTCCAACAAAAACCAAGTAAAGATTGGATATCCCTGAATTCATATTATGAGCTATCCTTGGCACAAACTGACGACAGAGGCTGCAAGACTGGCAAAAATAAGAAACAACTCTCGCATTTCACGCCAGTAGGGCATCGTGATGAATCAGCAAAGGACGAGGAGGCAAAATCGAAGAAAAGCGTAACCCGCAATTCATTTCACGGTTTAGAAAGTCACAATGTTCATACCTTCTCCGGGAATACGAAGCTTTCCATGGTTCCGAGGAGAGGCAGGATTTCGCTGACGGTAAACCCGGTTTGGCGACGATCTCCACAAACTTGGGACAACTGGTACAACACAAGATGCACTAATTCGTCCATCGTGAAACCAATTCTAGCGATGAATTCAGCTCCACGATTGCACCACTCGCACACGAACAAGTACCACCTGGACCATAAAGGGCAAAATGTAAGTGGCCTGAACCCCTCCGGATAACGTAAAATTCTGTCAGAAAATTCACATGAACAGAAACTTACCGGTCAGCGAGCAAAAGATCACCTGGGCTTGAAACGAGGCACATCTCATGAAACCACTGCAAACATCGCCTACACTGCAGCATTCGCTTATGCCAGCTGGAATCAATGTTTTAAGAATTTAAAATCAATCCTTCAAAAATACTGAAATCAGACGACTTACTTTCCTGGTCCTCGGCAGTAACAATAGCAATCCTGCTCATTTTTAAGATGGCCAGAATCCCACGTCAAGGTAGCGGGCTAAAATTGGAAATATTGTTGAAAGAGGTTTCGCCCATGAAATAATGTTAAGGCTTACATCATAAAAGGGATGTTTTTGATTCTTCGAGCATCCATTGGACGGAACAGGGAGACCGGGAGACTGGCTACTGGAATTCCGCTGGGAACGATTGCTGTCGGCTTCATGGTTCAAATGCCTCACGTGCGAGATGCGAGACCAACGAGAAGTGTTGTCCGGAAATAATACACACGCTTTGTGTTCAACAAGATCGATCTTGTCCAAGGTTCCGAAATACAATCGGCCGTCTTCCCGAGACACCAACACTTTCTGCCCGACCGAAAATCCGCCGTAAGAATTCATTGCGACTTGACGGTTGACGTTGCCGTGGTAGTGCTTTTCCAGGTAGCGGAACCCCTCAGAAAAAGCTACGATGTAAAGCGAATGATGACATCGCCACTCATCTACACGGCGAAGCGCAACCGCACGCTTCCGATATCCGTTAAATCATCACTCCGTCGCACACATCAATCCTTCTGCACACTGATCATCCAATGGGGAATAATGAAGGGTATATTCAACCTGACCCAATTCATATCATGATCAAACAGTAAAGTCGTTCTACAATAAACACGCAAGCTGAAACCAAAGCGCCGGGGCTCTATGTAGATACAGTACAGTATTACAAATCGAGTGGTACAAATTGTCACAAAAGTATTCTCGCCTGCTTCATCTTCAATTTCACTTGGGACACAGTTCGAACAAACGGCAAAACTTCTCAAAACAATTCACATCATTTTATCGAAAATATTCACCGAATCCGCGAAGAGAGACTCCGTTAAATCCTGACAAAGCCTAACATGCAATTCTCATGGGGGATCATCATAATAATACAGGGATGTAGTAATGGAACTTTGATCAACTTAGAGACAGTAGGTCAGACGGACTTGCAGAGCGATGTCATAAAACAGAACCAAGATGTCACTCCCTTTCAAAAGTCATTTCACTTTCTGTTATGATTTTTTCTCATTATTGTATACAGCTATACAGTACTGTACAATACAGTACTGTACAGAATATACATTGTGGCGTATAGTCTTATGTGACCTGTGCATGGAATACAATAGTAATATAGATACAGTACTCTATATAGTAGCAATATCCTCCATTCCCAATTTTTTTTTCCCAATACGTGGAGTTCTCTCCTCACCTTGAAGGAATTCTCTACAAACTTTGTTTTCTGGTTCCTTGCATTTTGTTATGGACAGAGCCTACCTGTACTACCACTTGAAAGATTCATCCTTTTAATGAATTCTGATGAATATAGAAGGTGTGCAGTAATTTTTTTAATCAACAAAATCCGAAGGACTTAAAAAATGCATTCCTGACATTAAATGTACATACTCTTTACTAGCAGACTTAAAATTTTTAAATTTTCTGTTTACCTATTTTCTTTTGATACATCTCAGTTAAAGATTGACATCTTACAAGAACCAAATAAATTTTTTAGAGAGATTAGCAAGAATTTTGGGGACCTCATGACATGGGAAGAAAACTTGGGCTGTAGACGTTAATTGGAAAGTATTTGCTTCATTGCCATTTAGTAAAATGATGAAATTATACTGTACAGTATTTCAGAACCTCAGACGCCATGGGCTAAATGTCATGATCAATTTTTACAATCACACCTATTCTAAAAATGTCAGATGTTGCACCCAACTGGAATAACCCTTGTACATGTTCAGCAAATTTCTTATGTTTCAGGCAAAATTGATACATCATGAAGCGATTGTTTCCTGAAATTTGTTGCTGCACTTGGCTTCAATATTTCCTACACTAGAGGCACCTTTTAAGGCCAAGAAGATAATTAGACATTGGAAACCTTTGTTTCCGATGAACAATTTGCACAGATCTTCTGCTTACACATAAGCCTCAAATTTCCGAATAAAAAAATGTCCCTTTATTTCCAAAAAAAAAGAGTCCATCTCAGATCGTTCACACGAAAAATAAAACACTCCAAATCCAATCCTCGAGCTCCCATTCGCAACTCCGACCTCTCACAAATAAAAAAGCTTGTCTCTTGAAAAAGGAAGCATAGCCCACGAAACGAAAAAGGTTGCAGAAATATATCAGTGGAATCATCCCCTTCTGAACGCATCGTGAGCCACACACGAACACAAACACTTCTAAATAAAAATAAAGAAGAAATGCCGCCCGCCGAATTCAAACGGTGGTGGTGGTATGTGAACATTGCTGGAACATCTCAGGATAAATTTGTTTTCTTCTTCGCAAAACTGCGAAGCTTCCGATGCTGCGAATTTAACTCGCAAATCCCCGTCAAACGTTAGCTGGGTACAATCCGAAGCTTTAGTTTATATATACTCTCGCTTGTCCTCCTCAAAATAGCACGGACATGCCACTCAGTTCTGACTGCTCCTTCACAAAGATTTCAAAGTATTGGTAGATAATGGTAACGGCCAAGAGAATACCGGTGCCAGAGCCGATCGCTCCCATGAAGTCGGCTAAAACTGATAGTGCGCCGATGCACAATCCGCCGAATGCTGCTGCTGTGGGAATGTATCGGTTCAGCTCGTGGATCATCGACTTTTCTCGATGCCCACGCATCACCATTTGCTGATCTTTCAACTGCTTCGCAACCTGGATAATAGACACAAAAAGCAAGATTCAATGGATTTAGTCTTCTTCGTCGTCGAGTTATCCCCAACATTTTTTAAAAACCTTCTAGGCACAACAAGTCAACAACGACATCTAGAGAAAAGGTCAAGCTACTTAGTTTGATTTCAATAAATGCAGAAATCGTATTTACACGAGTACCACGCACCCTCCATTGCATTCGCAACACCCATGGATTTTTGCTGAAAATTTTGATTAAATAGTACCTTCGAGCAAGACGCACATTCCATTTTTTTGACTGTAAAGCCCCAATATTTCGAAAACTTTTTGAAAATTTTAAACCCATCCCCATTTTTTCCTCTAAAATTTGAGACAGGTGCGCATGGTACTGCGATGTAGGCGGCACTACAGCGCATGGCCTCGACATACGGACAATTCGACTATGGGTCACTTGAATCTAAAAAAAAATAAACCCTGTAATTCCTACAATGCAGACACTTCAAAATTTCTGAAAAAAAGAAAGAATTCTATTCTTCAAAATTTTGAATTTTTTTATATCTCTTGGAACGAATTGAGCGACTGTAGTACAGTAATTTAAAAAAAAATGTCAATATAAATTTACAGCACAGTACTTCAACCTTAATCCAAACCAGGCCAATTTTGTGTTTCTTTTTTCAGAGTTTTCCCCCATTATCTGGGCACATAATAGCAGGACGTTTCTATTCTCTAATTTTCGGTCAGTTTTATGCAAGAAGTTTTTTTCTGCAGTTATTTTTTGTATCGAAGTTGAGAACAATTTTTCATTGAATTTGTGTTGGACTTCTTCCGAAATTTCCATCACAGAACACACAATTAAATATATTCCATTTGAAGTCTATGGGAAAACGTGATCCGACATGCGGACGTTACAACATAAGGACAAGGTTCAAGCACAAATTATGTCTGCATCTCGCGGGACCCACTGTGCTCAGGAATTCGCTTTAACTTCGCTGTGAGAAGTATTACGCCAAGTAACTCATGGAAAGTCATCTCACGTCTTTCGCAGAAGATCCCGAAACGTCAATCCAGGTCTTGGAGAAAAATGCGCAGGAACCCAACATGAAGCATATGTAGAGTATCGCATGAATAGGATCTTGCGCAATATGACCCAAACTTTCAGGCGGTGACAAATAATAACATAGTCCTCCAATGGGGTAAGACCTTGCGGGTCCTCCACTGCCAACATCAGCCCAAACTCCCAAGATATTGACGAAGAAATTCCCGGAGAATTTCACTGACAACATCTGAAGAAAAAGAGAAAAGTTCAAAAATTTGTTTAAACAGTATCCTGAGGAGCAATCTCTCACCTGAGAAATAATGTACATATTCGACACCAGCGCCGACTGCAAGATTATAGGGATATTCGACGTGTAGAAAAGCTTGATCGGGTAACTGCTTTGTTGTCCACGGTTTCGAGCCGATTTAATCGGCAAGTCGACACGGAAGCCCTGAAAAAAAGATCATAATAAAAGTCAATAACTAACAGTGATTCTATACTTGAGTAAGATTCAACACAAGTGATCGTTCACGAAAAAAAAGACGAATCTACAACAGGTTAGCCATTTTTAAAGTTATTCTTCAATTTCTACGTTTTCTTAAAACTGTTCACTTGTTTACATGCATAAAATTAACGAACCCAAGTTCACCCAGAGCAGGTAACTTGTTCTAGTATTTCATGTCATTCCAGGTGCTGAATTATCACTTCATTTATTATTCTTCTTGAATAATGAAGAATTTTCACAGAAATTCCAGATCACTAGTCCCTAGAAATATAAGTAATGTCAAAAATAATAAATAGGTGAAAGTGAATAAGTACAGCAATACAAAATAAAAGCCATTTTTTTTAGCAGTAAAGCCATTTTCAGCATTCCAACTGAACCTAAAAACTGTACGCTCACTGAAAACGGCATCTCATTTTTTGGTTCAATGCAGCGATCACATCGTCTTGAAAGATTATGCTAAAATTATTATTTTTTGCCTTGAACGGAAAATTAAGCAAACATTTCCCAAGCATACATTTTCTTTATCGGCGGGCACAAATCTCTAGAATTTTTCCATGAAGCATAGCCGTATCATTCCTTCATCATAGTACATTCTTTTGAAAAATTCTTGATAAAAACTATATTCGAATATTTCTGGGTAGACGTTTTTGTTTGAACCATTTTATAATATTTTCAATAAAAGTAAAATAGGGTACCTGGAAATAAATCACGATGGCGAACACGAGAACTGTCGCAATAATGTTCATCAAATTCGGCAGGTTGGGGCGGTAAAAGGCTTCCCTCAGTGCTCGAACCTTGTCTTGCCTCATGGCCAGAAGGTGGAACAAAGCTATGATTGCCCCTTCAAATTCCGTGCCACGACCTGAGGAGATGATGAAAAAAACAAAAGAAAATCAAGATGTAGGAGGGGAGTAGCACAAGGACACCAAAATGTAACGCAATTCTCCCTCCACCCAGACTTCCGAGGTCACCCGAGAAGGCAAAAAGATCGGGAAAAAAATCTCTTGGGGGGGGCAACCACACCCAGACCCAACGCCCGAAGGGGGGGGGGGGGGGGGGGGGGGGGGGGGGGGGGCGCTTTACTGGTGTGGCTTTGAAAATGTTATTTACCTCAATTTCTCTCACCTAAATTTCCCTTTTTTCCTAGCCTGTCTCGACAACTACGGAAGTAGAGCCCTTTTACCACAGAAACAAAATATAAGCTACAATTCCTTTTTTTAAAGCAAGGATTGCTTACTCTGATTTCGGTGAAAAAGTGGGGATCAAACGTATTTCCTCCAGCACCATACGCACTCTTTTTTTGAAAATTGAGAGGAAAAGGGGGTGTGCGTCATACAATAAAATAAAATCTAAAAGGTTACGCATGGGTCATACTTGAATGTGAAGGGAAATTATTGATAGGGACTTTTTACGAATCAAAAAGATTGAAAATTAATTGGATTCAGGTTGAATTCATGTTCAAATTTGAATTCTAGCGTATCTCATTTTTGAAACATGGAAGTTTTCCTAATCTTAAAAATGGTGTGTGGTACTCAGCAAGTAAATACGGTTATGTGTTTAGGAAAAATCTCACTGGAAGAGTTTTCCTAATGTTCATATACGTATGCACCTACAGTGAAATGTACTGAAGAAAGATGTATTTTTTACACTATAAGTTCTTGTTCTATTAATGAAGAGTTTCAAATACAATCTACAGTGAATTTTGAATCACAATTACCTTGTTGCACACTTCGTAGTAAGTCAATATCTACAAGATAGCTAACATGAGCTTTTTTTTTAGGAAATCTATGCTGTATTTAAAAAAATACGGAACATGAACACTTCAATCAAATTTCAATTTTATGACTCGGAAGCATACTGTATACTGAATAGTTTTCAAATAAAATACATACTTTCTTCGTAGAGGTAGAATAATATCACAGTTGGACTTGCCAAGTTCAACCTTTTTTGAAGCCAAAAGCCTTTATATTTAATATTATACAAATTAAATGAATCCCTGGCCAACGCCTTCAAGGTCACTGCCTGTTAAACCTCCATAACCCAGAGTTTTTGGTCGAATTTCGCAAGGCCTGTGTGTTGTGAAACAAGGAGTACATTACCTTTTTCATAAAAAGAAGAAAAATTTGAAAATTTCACCTTGATCCTTTTTTACAAGGGATTGGGAAACTCAATGCAGGTAGGACATCTATGAATAATAAAATCTTATAATTAGGCCAATTTTACTGGATTATCCCGCAAACAAATCAAGCTTGAAATCTCCTCAAGCTCATTTTTTTCAATTTCTATGAAATCAACTCTAAGAAGTTCAACTGTTCAATGCAGACGGACTCATGCCAAAGTCTTGCAAATATTGCGTTGAAGGAACAAAATATAAAGAAATTTAATTGCTGAGCTGCTTAAATTTTATGGTCTGGAGGGAGATGAAAACTTCGGACTTTCAGATACTCAGCCAATTTCTGTTTTCACAGAGAACGTTTTTATTATGGTCATCTTCTTTTGCTTCCTCCATGGATCTTTATTCGAGCCACGCGAAATCATTTTGAAATCCATCAATCGTTAAGATTTACTCACCAGTGTTGACCGTGGCTGGGCTAAACGCCTTCCACACAAAGGGGGGGGGGGGCGCTTTACTGGTGTGGCTTTGAAAATGTTATTTACCTCAATTTCTCTCACCTAAATTTCCTTTTTTTCCTAGCCTGTCTCGACAACTACGAAAATAGAGCCCTTTTACCACAGAAACAAAATATAAGGTACAATTCCTTTTTTTAAAGCAAGGATTGCTTACTCTGATTTCGGTGAAAAAGTGGGGATCAAACGTATTTCCTCCAGCACCATACGCACTATTTTTTGAAAATTGAGAGGAAAAGGGGGTGTGCGTCATACAATAAAATAAAATCTAAAAGGTTACGCATGGGTCATACTTGAATGTGAAGGGAAATTATTGATAAGGACTTTTTGCGAATCAAAATAATTGAAAATTAATTGGATTCAGGTTGAATTCATGTTCAAATTTGAATTCTAGCGTCTCTCATTTTTGAAATATGGAAGTTTTCCAAATCTTAAAAATGGTGTGTGGTACTCAGCAAGTAAATACGGTTATGTGTTTAGGAAAAATCTCACTGGAAGAGTTTTCCTAATGTTTATATACGTATACACCTACAGTGAAATGTACTGAAGAAAGATGTATTTTTTAAATTATAAGTTCTTGTTCTATTAATGAAGAGTTTCAAATACAATCTACAGTGAATTTTGAATCACAATTACCTTGTTGATCACTTCATAGTCAGTCAATATCTACAAGATAGCTAACATGAGCTTATTTTAGGAAATCTATGCTGTATTTAAAAAAAAAATGGAACATGAACACTTCAATCAAATTTCAATTTTATGACTCAAAAGCATACTGTATATAGTTTTGAAATAAAATAAATACTTCCCTTGTATAGGTAGAATAATATCACAGTTGGACCTCGCCAAGTTCAAATTTCTTTGAAGCCAAAAGCCTTTATACTCAATATTTTACAAATTAAATGAATCCCAGCCCAACGCCTTTGAGGTCACTGCCTGGTAAACCTCCATAACCCAGAGTTTTTTGGTCGAATTTCCCCAAGGCCTGCGTGTTGTGAAACAAGGAGTACATTACCTTTTTCATAAAAAGAAGAAACATTTGAAAATTTCACCTTGATCCTTTTTACAAGGGATTGGGAAACTCAATGCAGGTAGGACATCTATGAATAATAAAAACTTATAATTAGGCCAATTTTACTGGATTATCCCGCAAACAAATCAAGCTTGAAATCTCCTCAAGCTCATTTTTTTCAATTTCTATGAAATCAACTCTAAGAAGTTCAACTGTTCAATTCAGACGGACTCATGCCAAAGTCTTGCAAATATTGCGTTGAAGGAACAAAATATAAAGAAATTAAATTGCTGAGCTGCTTAAATTTAATGGTCTGGAGGGAGATGAAAACTTCGGACTTTTAGATACTCAGCCAGTTTCTGTTTTCACAGAGAACGTTTTTCTTGTGGTCATCTTCTTTTGCTTCCTCCATGGATCTTTATTCGAGCCACGCGAAATCATTTTGAAATCCATCAATCGTTAAGATTTACTCACCAGTGTTGACCGTGGCTGGGCTAAACGCCTTCCACACAATCGTTTCGCAAATATTCGTGGCAATGAAAAGAGAAATTCCGGATCCCAGGCCATATCCTTTCTGTAGAAGTTCATCTAGAAGCAAAACTATCAGACCGGCGACGAAGAGCTGAATGACGATCAGGAGACACACTCCAGCACCGATTTCCGCGGGGTCTCCGTACATTCCTGTCATCACGTACACAATGGCTTGTCCCACAGTGATGATCATCCCGAATACTGCATCGAATGTATAAGTATAGAGGGTAAGATCAGCACAATTATAAACATTTATAAGATTCGAAAAGATCATATTAATACGATTCGATAGTTGGTGAATCTATTCATATTTTTTCAGATCCTCTAGATGAGATGCGACTGATTTCTTCACATGAAATCCAGAGAAAAATGCTTCAAAAGCACTAGAAGATTAAAAGCTTACATTTTTGGGCGCCGCTGAACAAAGCCCTGTCCTTCGGAGTATCGCCAACTTCAATGATTTTCGTTCCAGCAAGAAGCTGCATGATAAGACCGGACGTAACGATCGGGGATATTCCAAGTTCCATCAAAGTGCCACGATTCGAAGCCAAAATAACACGAATCCAGTAAAACGGATCCGCAGAGTCGGAGCTCATTATGCCAAAAAGCGGAATCTGCCACAAAAAAATAATTATTGGCCTCAGAAGCGAAAGGGACTAAGGATTAAATCCTTACCTGGCAGCATACTAGGAATATGAAAAGTGTTATAGCAGTCCACAGTACTTTTTCCCGGAATTGAACCTGAAGAAAAATATTGCAATAATTCCGAGGATTTCAAATAAAATGTTACCTGCATGCACAACGAATATCCAACTTACCTCTCGTTGTGGTTTGGCAATCTCCGGAAGGATCCCACAGAAGGGTTTGATCATTTCCAAAAACTTGACTACAAAAACGTACCATGTCAAAAGATTTACCCAATAAAATATAAATCGATGAATACTTACAACCCATGATTCAACGAAATTTTCCGGTATCACGGACACTGAGAACAGACAAAAAATTGGTTCAATTATTGATACAGGAACGATTTTCCGTAACACGATCGACATAAATTGATGCACAAAATTTTTTCCACGAAAACAGTCAGCTCTCAGCTTACAGGAACCATCAACTTCTATTTTCAAGAGAACAATAATCCTACCCGGAAAGCTACCTGGCCAGGATAAAAAAAAAAAATCCACGGCTTTCAGGACTGGAGAAAATGAACCCACGCGCCCATTCGCGAAGGAATGCAAGACACTTAATCCGAAACATTTTCAACTCCACCGAATTCCTCCAACCAAGGCCTTCGCTTTCGGCACTACAATGGGAATGCTCGGCGAGCGTGTTTTCCGAAAGGCGTTGCAGAAGCCGCCAATAGTCCATGCTGGCGGAGAGCAAGCGCCAACGCGATAACGGTGGGACAGAGCTATGAATTCCAGGACAAAGAGCGATGCTAATTTTAATTCATACAATATGTTTGCGCTTTAGCAAGAGCCTTACGAACTTAATCGACTGAGTCGTTTATTCTAGTTTTTATTTTTGTAAATGCAGCTCTCTCGGAAGTATCATCTGTCCCATTTGTATATGTTAATAATTTTAAAAAATACAACAAATGCAGCAACGCGTCCGCCAAAACGTCCAGATGCGCTTTCGTCTGCAAAAAAGAAGGAGAAAAACAATTCTGTCAAGGGTTCGAGGCCGCTATTAGAAATCTTGCTGATACCCAAGTTTCAAAACTCAAGGATTTTATCGTTGACGAAGAAGGCGGTCGAATTTGTCCGGTTGTAAATCAATCTGAAGGAAAATCTATTTGTCGTCCATCAGATACTCTTTGCGTTTTTAAACTCACCTCTGTGCAGCGTAAGTAATGAGAAATTAATTACTGTATATTGTATGTGATAATCATCAGAATTTAAATGAGCTTGGAATGTTGCAAATGGAATAACACTTTCTAAGCCTGCCCCGAAAATTTTGTCAAATCGGATGAGATAACTTACAGTAATGACAATAAATCGCGAAAAATGCATTCGTCTAGAATTTTTTTCTCGCGACATTCGAAAGTGTGGCAGCTGTGCGAAAAATGGAAGAATTTTGTGCAATGAGCAAGGTAGTATAACGCTTGGAAAAAAAATATAATTTTGTCCGGTTAGAAATCCATTTTGCAACCGAAGTCTGATATCAGCTTTGGTTAAAAATTACGCTCATCTGTCACGTTCGACAGGACGAATCTCGTCAAATGGAATTCCCTCTTTTCTTCGACACCAGTGTCACGCTATGAGACGGATTGACTCAGGAAGTCCGCTGTCGACGCAAAAAGTTCCGGATTTCCTATTCAACACCTGCTGCCGGCGAATAACCGGACGGGGGGGAAAGGTTTGAAGGATACGTAGAAAATAATTCGGGGGTTGTTGGAAAATATCACAAGGCGGAAATTTCATCAACAAAAACCGCATTATGGCCCTTGATAACGCATACTGTACTGTATGTTAAATCCTACCAACATATCCGTTCACTGCACCAGGAGGGAAAAGCCTGTTCCTTAAAATGCTCGCAGTTCGTTATTTTTCAATCTCAGGATTTTCATATCAGATAAACCTTTCCAAAGAAATGTTGTTTTCTGAGCGCATATTTCCGCAACAATCGAAAAACAAAAGTCATTTTGTGGCTAACCAGCGTTTATAATAGTGCGCTCAATTTGGTATCGTGAAGTGTACCTTGCTCTGCGCGCCCCCTATGCGCGCAAAAGCACAGTCCTCGGGTTCCTCTTAGGCCGAGTCATTCGATTATAGTTGTCATTCGGGGTGAAAAATTGTGATCGAAGTGTTGAAAATCGGGAAGTGATGCTTCTCATTTCGTTGATGCTGTTGCTGTTTTGTTTTAGGTCACGATGGATTCGAGATCATCAATTGGAAGTCATGTTAGCTATTCAATGCTTCCTCCTCCAATATCTTCGCCTAACAAAAATTGTCTATCCGCTGCTGCGAAGCGTTATAAATTTTTGAAACGCATGATTAAAGTTAGGCAGATGGATTTTGAATTCGCAATGTGGCAAACTTTGTATTTGTTTGTGTCGCCGCAAAAAGTTTTCAGAGATTTCCAGGTAAATATCGATGGTGCATTTCATTCTAAGATGTTTAAAAACTTATTTGTTCTCCCTTGTAGTACCGAAAGCAAAACAAAGCGCAGTATGCCAGAGATGACCCAGCTTTTCTTGTGCTCTTGCTGGGATGGATCGTCGTGTCGTCAGCTATATTCTCATCATTCCTTCATTACCATTTCTGGCAGTTCTTCGTTTTCACATTGTATCTCATCACGGTTGGCTGTATTGGTCTTGGAATGGTCGTAGCCACTGGTCTATGGTTCATTACAAATAGGTGAGTGATCTTGGTAGTGACCATTGAAACGTGTACAAAATCTAGAAAAAAAATTTCCTGCAGATTTATGATTCGGAAAGAGTGCCGACAGCAAGACGTGGAATGGGCGTATTCCTTTGACGTGCATCTCAACGCGTTTTTTCCGCCTTTGATCATCCTTCACATATTCCAGTTTATATTCTACCACGTGTTTTACGATCGCCTCTCGTACAACCCGCATAGCTGGTTTTTTGGACTTCTGCTCGGGAACTCGTTTTGGGTTGCTGCGCTTGGTTATTATGTGTACATAACATTCATTGGCTATAGTTCATTGCCAATATTGAAGAACACGCGGTACATGCTCACTCCTTTTACCGGAATAATTTTCTTGTTTTTGTTGAGCATTGTTTTTCGCTGGAGCTTCGCCGAAACGTTTATCGATTTTTATAAGAACGTTTGAGTGAGCTGTTTTTCTCCATCGTATTGTGTTGAATTTGGACGCACTGTGATTGGTTTTGTCTGGGAATGCAAATGATGTCTGATTTACGGTATGCCAGTGATTCGGCGTTCTTGCTCGTCAGCAGTCTTACTCTGTAAAATTTGGAAAACTGATAAAGGAACAAAATGAAGTGCGCTGCAAGGATATTTCTTGAATCCTTGTTCTGAAAAGTTTTCAGATTATTAGACTGTAGTGAACGATAATTCCCGAAACCGCTACTGATCTTCATGTATGAATACGTTTAGAAGCGCGACATCGGTTTTTTTTTTCCCAAGTGAGTTGAATTTTTAAATGGTTTTCATTTAGAAGGCTGCCGCCGCAAGGTTACTTATTTTTCGATGCAACGATATCACATATTTTGAGTGAGAAGGTGAAGGGTGTTGCAAATACGGAAAGGAACTCCGGCGGTGCTAGAAATCGCGCTCAATCGCCAGAAAATAATGAATGGAAGAAAGATGAACTTGATGGCTGAACAGAAAACCTTTTCTTGCTCCGTGTACACATTGTCTTAATTTTTGTCTGAAGGCATTTGGTGAAATCAGACTAAACTTAGTTCATCAGTGAGATCTCTTTAAACAAGTGGACTCGCTAAGTATTTCTTTGCCTAACAGTTGCGTTGTCCGCAAAACAAAATTTGTTCCGGTCTTGTCAGACCTACTCATTTGAAAGTAGCTCTTCTGCGTGGAAATTCTTTCGATTTTAAACCTCCTGAGTTGAAAAACACGATGAATCCAAAGAAAACCGAAGCATACACCTCTGCCTGGTTAGCTTGTCTTTCTGTTATGTAATTTAATGCAAAAATAATATTCTTTAATTCTTGTCATTTAATATCTTGTTATTCATTTTATTTCTCATTGATTCTGTATTGTGTTTTATGAAATCGTTTTTCTTGTTGGAGGCAGTTTACAGCATTCGTGTCCACTTGTTGGCTTTTGAGCGCATATTTCGCACCATCTGTTCCCTTCCTCAGTTGACCGAGTACGACGTGGGGGCCGCGTTCTGATGAAAAAATGGGACAGTTTTCAGTGATGCAGTTCATTCGTGATTTTAAATTGTATATTATTCTGAATCCCTATATTTTTTTTCGCAGGTGATAGAAAAAGAATGCATGTGTTACCGTTGCACGACCGTCCTCATTTTCCGAGCTTTCTGCTGGAGACACACGCGCGTTATTCGCGGTTCCTGTCCTGTGCCTCGTTAGACACACTGGTGGAAGAAGAAATCGCGTCTTCGCGCGCCGCCTCCGTGACGGCAGTGGGCGGCGGATCTCGTCAGCAACTCTTTGATCCCTTCTTAACCCCATCCGCCGTCACTCTCATGTTCACGCTGTGCAAATCGCGGAAATTCTCTCCGAGCGTCCGGTTCGCCGCCATGCAGTACATGGCGACTTTTGTGGCCAAACACCACGTGTCGAGAAATGCAGCAATGTGGGAACCCATGAACCGTCGCAAAGCCCTGATAGCGACTGTGATATGCATGCAGTTGGCGTCCAAGATGTACCTCGATTCCGGTGGCATGCTGACTGCGGACGTTGTGGAGGTGTTGCAGAAGTACGGGGTAGATGGGTTCTCCGAGTCGGAGGCCCGTGATGCGGAAACCAGTGTGGCTCTGATGTTGGAGATGCGGTTGAATCGACCGACCCCGTTCAGTATTCTGGAGGCTCTGATCGTGGCCTTTGAAGCCGAGAAGCGACTGGACTTTATTCCTCACGGCATTGGCGTGTTTTACGAGACAGCGCTTTCGTTATTAAACTTGGCGTATTTTTGCAACGAGGAGATTTATGAGCATTTCGTGATGATCTCGAATTCGGAGTGCAAGCAGAAGTGGAAGGGAGTTGTGAAGCATGATCGGCTTTTGTTGGCCGCTGCTGTGTTCTCTGCTGCTGCGTGGCTCATGAAAACGGACTCCATTACGGAAAAACTGTTTGATCTCGACCAGGCTCTCAGCAAACGGGTTCACACGTCGCTGGGTGAGATCAATCAGCTTCGGGAAGCCATCTTCATGATTGTGTGATAACTTACGGGCCGTTTGCGAAGTGAAAGAAACAATGTTCTTTTTTTTTGTTTGGTAATCGTAACGATGTTTTGTGATCCAAGTGATTCGTTGCGTTGCATTATGAGGGAAATCATAACGCTGAACCAGTACGCTTCTTGCGGGTTTTGAAAAAAAAATTGGAAGATTCGGCTTTTGATTTACTCTTGCTTTGTTACTGTGAAGGAGCTAGTCTGCCCAGTTGCTGACGTACTGTACTTCGTATATCGGCCATGTAATGTTCCATTTTCATCGTTTTTGCTTTTGTTTAACCCCACAGGTCCCAGATGTGAGATTTCGTTGACGTTCATTAGTCCGTGTTGTGTGATGAAACTTTCAAGATTGGTGATGGTTGTCTTCATCGATTTACTTGCACATTTTTCTATTTTCTAAAATGAATTTTCCGCCATTGAAACCATGGCAACACGAGTACCCCACTTGTATAATTGTAAATCTCGCTGATCTAGTACATTCTTTTATTTTTGACCAACATAATGCCAGACTAGCCGAACCTCCAAACGGAAGTGATTTAATTCTTGACTATCTTATTTAAATCCTTAACGAACTTCACCTGCTTTTTTACTATCGTCACCGAATACAGTACTGTATTTATTCAAGTACCACGCACCCTTGAGTAAGATAGGGCCCGATTTCATCATCCTGAAATATGGATAAAAACCTATCTTAAAAGTAAGTAAGACAAGCGCCCAATGTTTAGTGACGGGAAAGTTGCAAAATTTTGAAAGTTAATCTCATCAGGTTTCAAATTATGCCCTCAGTTGGCCCCAAATTGTATCAATTTCCGATTGAGAAAGGTATTTACTGTATCAAAATTTCCTATTACAATCACGTATGGCATGTCCCCGTAATTCTAAAATTTGGGAATAAGATTTTGAAAAACTGTACACGCTTATGATGCGGATTATCTTTTTCCTCTCTCAACGAAGAAAAGTGCGTTTAGTACTGTACTTGCGTAAATATGAAAAGTTGAGAAGTAAGGGCTGACAAGCAAATAACAATGGCTTTAGCACTGGCTTTAATAAATAAAAGCTGAATTTATCTAATTGAATTGAGTTGAGGAAAATTTCCCCAAGCACTAAGTTGCTCGAATTTCCGAAAAAATTAAAGGTTTCTCGAAGTGAAATTGCAGTGAGAACAGCGATTGCGATTCTACGTGAAATGCTACGAATGCCACGCGACGTCCTGCTTGTAAATCAAGAAAAAAAATTCTTGCTTTGAGAAATCGTCAAACTCCGGAAAGCAAGTGTTCTACAGTATTAGAGAATTCATCCTGCGGATAATTTGTAATTTTCTTGGATGCTATTTAATCGAACCAAAGCAAAATTTGTGGGACAAAATATTTAATACTAACCGTGCTATTCAAGTGAAGGATTTAAAAAATCCTTCATCATGGCCTCCATCCAGAGAAACGAAGGAACATTTTCTAGATTCACGAAGAAATCGCGCTACGAAAAAAATTAAAATCCTGTCCGAGCGATCTAGGGAAAATATAATGTACAGTGCTTGAAAAAATAAAAAAATGCTCGAGATAATGACGGAAATGCAAGAAGAAATTTCCAACTGCGACAATCCAAACCTCTTTCAAAATTCCCCTTTGATTCATCATGGGCTGACTGGCTCCTTTGAAACTTCGCCGAACTGCGAATCTTACCGAGATCAAACTTGTATTGATTTATCTTTCGTTTCCCCTTCTCAAGGAACTTCATTCGGACTATGTACGCGGAAGCTGAGAATTTGTTGTCGTCTGCGCGATATTTTGAAGCTCTTCATCGCGAAGAGTTGGATTTTAGCGATAAGCAACCCGGGGAAGTGTTCGCGTGTTTGACGCAGAACCGTACTTGCGGAGAACTGATCTCGCAGGATAAAACCGTTTACGGGGAAATTCCCAAGTGTCGCGAGTGCGTCAGCGCCCAACAAAATGGCCGGTCTTCCGATCGGCTGTGTCGGTTTCAAGACTTCAGAACATTCATCTTCAGACGCAATGTTGTTAAGCCCAGTGTCGGGTTTCTCAAGTATTCCTACATTGCGAACCCGGTGAGTACCGTAGTAGTGAGAATGTCAATTTTTTTGCGCGAAGAATGATACAGATCTTGATTTTATCGTTTGGTTCTAACTCCTAAGTTAAGTAGATGAAAGGTGCCTGTAAATGTGTGCAGTGGGAAAGGTGAAACTCTAATTCTCGGTATGATTAAATCTTGCGTGAAACTGATGCAGAAGTTCATTGAGTTTGAGATGTTCATTTTTGAAGAATTTTATATTCTTACATATTCGTCCTCATTCTTCGATATAAATTACTGTATATCCAGAAATTGAACAATCCGTGTATGCAACTTTGGCGATGCTCCTGCAAAAATGAAAAACCCAGAAGCACATTGAACTAGAGAATAATCGAGGGGAAATCTTTAAAATGACTTCGACTGTCATTGAAAAAATCTCCGCTCTAAACAAATTTTCTTGTGATGAACAAATAATTGAAATTTTCCGTATGTATAAAAATTCTCATTTCCTGATTTTTCAACATCTAATTTTTTTCATGCCCGCTGGCTCTGGTATTCATTAACTTTCCATGCGCATATATATTTTTGACTGCTTCTACCGATGCAAGCTGATCAATGTTTTGTGAGAACCAGTAAAAGAAGAATTCGTTTTTAAAATGAAGAATGTCCACAAGAATTTGAGGCCTTTAACCGCGTATTGTGCAAAACATGTTCATTCGTATATCTTTTATGCACTACTGGACTGTCGTTTTTGTGCATTCAAATGTGCACATTGTAATCGAACAGACAGTATTCCAACCACGCGAAATTGATTTTTATTCGGCTTGACAGCAAGAAGTGACGTACTGGAATTTGTATGATTAATCAGAAGATTTATGTAGATCAGTGTATTTAGAAGGCGTATTTTTTAAAAATTAAATTTAAATGTTTTTTTTCCTCATCAGGAAGAATTCGAACCTTGGCTACCCACAAAATCCGCTCTGCAGACTTCCCCGGAAAAACTGAAACTTTCCGCTGGTAAGATGCTGTCCAACGTTGGTGATTGTTTTTGTCGCATTGTCAGAGAAGAACAGGAGGTTCTGGATTTGCATTCGAAATCCTGTGAAGGTGAGTTGAAGTTTTTTTTAAACTCCATTCGACGACAAATCTAAACAAATTTCTTTCTAATTTTACAGTTCAAAATTACAAGCCTTCGGTCGCATATAAGCGTTTGCCTCCTTTGGTCCGAGATATTTGTGATGTGTGTGAAACCACTCTGTTCAACTTGCATTGGATTTGCAAAGAATGTGGCTTCGGAGTTTGTATTGACTGCTACAAAGAAAACAAAGCCGATGAAGAACGGGATCCTGATGACAAAGCCCTCCTTGTAAGTCGTCATGTACGGGTTTTGTCGCGTTTTGTTTTGTGAAGAATTTTGCTGGGATTTGATGAGGATTTGAAGATCATCGCGGATTTCTTCGTCATGCAGTATCCTATGAAATGTTTTCATTAATCCATTCTTTTTTCTTTGGACTCCATTTATCCGTGATGGTGTTGCTTGTGATGACTTGGGTGTAGTCCTAATTCTGTTCCGACTTGTTGCATTAATTTTAAATCGTCGTGCCTCTCAAGGTTTTATGATTCAAAACGAGATGTTCCAGGAAGCATGTTCTAAAGTTGAAAGGCGAGAAACATAATTTTGTTTATCGTATCCGATTTAAAAAAAAATTTATTAGTTAGTGTTTATTGTATAATGTAGGCCAATATCTCATGGGGTTTATGTTGTGGTCAAGCACCGGAAGTTCGGACGATTCCCGATTTCCTTTCTTAATGATTAGGTTTCAATTGTATTCTAAATTGTGTTCCTCACGTCCAATTTAGAAAAATGTCTAAAACTTTTTGAAATCGCGAAGCACAGGAGAAGAATTTTTTTTTTGGAAACCACACTTCGATTTCAACGATTTAATTTTATTTATTCCTAGAGGAGACGCATTTGGCCACCCTGCACGAAAGAGAATCCGGATCACTGTTCCACTGATCTCATGCTCACACAATTAATCCCTGGGAGCCTGTTGTTCGATATGAGCGAGGCGATGCATGCGTTGAGAGACGAACTGAAAGTTCCCTACAGTTGCGCTTGCGAGGAAAAGCGCTTCAAGAAACCAAAAGCTGAAGTGGGTCCCATTTTAACGAACGGAACGGCGGAAAAAGAAAAGCGAATTTCGACGAAAATTCAAGAAAATTATGTGAAAAAGATCCCGAATAATAGAAGAAGAAGGGGAAAGAAAGCTCCGAAGAAGCAAGTGAATGGCTTCCATGCGGATGCGTCGGATTCTCCCGGAAAACTCCCTGTGGTGTTCACCAATGGCGATTGTCCTGATGAAAACTGTAAAATGGAAGTTGGTGCGGTCGAAGATGTTGAAAATGTGAAGAAGGATGTTTCTGCGCGTGAAGATATCGACGATGTGAAAAAGAAAGTTTCCGCGCGTGAAGCTATTGGAAGTGTGAAGAAGGAATACTCCGCTCGAGAAGACCTGACACCTGGCCTAATCCCCCTGCCTGAAAAATCACTGATGGATGCTGCTGATCGAAGAATAAGCGAAACATTGAAATCTTCCAGCCTTCAACTCTCAGGCGTTTATCCACGAACATTTACGGGTATTAAAGCTTTCGTCCAGGAATGGGTTAACATTTCGGAAGAAGTTGTCAAGAAAGAATATGAAGGTATCGTCAAACTTCCGCACAATATTAGCACTGAGAAAGATTTCGGCGAAGAAGTGCAAGATTTGATATCTTTCTTTTCCAAAAAGGAATCGAACGAATCGGTGAGTGAGCATGAATTTGAATTTTTGTTTTTTTTTGTGAGCCACGTTTTATTTATTTATTTTTCAGGAAACGAAGCTTTGTAAGTTCGGACAAGGCGGGACAGAGTTCTGTAACCACAGATTTGAAGGTCGGTCTGAGTTGGTGACGTCCGAACTTTTTCCGAACAGTCCGCATTCCTATTTGTGCAATGGACAGATGCTCTGGTTGCTGGATGGCTCTCTTGACGAGGACGTCGCTCTTTTTACGGTTGGTTTATCTAAAAAAATATCTCGTAGAATGAACGAAATCTTGCTAGGAGTATTGATGCCTGCATATTCCATCAAATCCGCGTTAGTGATTCAGGTGACACCTGCCTGACATGTTCAGAGAGTATGATCGTGCGTAAAAATCTAGTGAACAAGCGAATACAGTATTACTAAGTGGAGTGGATGCAAAAAATATTCAAGTTACCGGAAAATCTTGAGATATCGCATGGAACTGTTTTTCCAATTTACAGTAATTTTGTGAAAACACACATTTTAAAAATTTTGTATCTTAATTCATATATTTTCACCTTCTGTTCGTATTCTGAAATGTTTTCATTTTTGAATGACGTCAGATGCTACTTAAGCGTAACGATTGCTTTTCCTCTCCTGATTTAATGAAGAAATGAGATAACATGCGAAGTGGAGTCGATGCAGAAAATATTCTAGTTACGGAAGAATCTTGAGTTATTTCATAAAACTCTTCTAATTCACAATGATTTAGTGAAACACTTCGTTGCATAAATGTTTGGAAAAGTCGCATTTTAAACACTTCCTTTCTGTATGTATTCTAAAATGTATTCAATTTCGGATGACGTCAAATGCTACGTAAGGTTGCGAATTGTTTGTTCCTTCCTGGTTTTCTCCGACATTTCTTGAAGCGTGAAGTTCCATGTTCTGTTCTAATTTTTTGCATACATGGCGTGAACTTTGTTTTAATTTATTATGGTTTATTTATTTCGTCGTAGAGGGAATGGCGTGCTGGACAGCCGGTAATAGTGAGCAACATCGGAAAACGAATGGATCTCAGTCTGTGGAGGCCGAGTAAATTCTCGGATGATTTTGGCGAAGAGGAGCATGATTTGGTGAACTGCTTGACCGATAAAGTGCTCGTTAATCAACCCATGAAAAAATTCTGGGACGGATTCGACGACAAAAAGAGTAAGATTTTAGAAAATGATTCACTATGAGGAGAACATCATTGTACTAAAGCTCCATATACGTTGTTGGAATGTTGGCGGGGGCATATATATTTTTTTCCATTGGGAAAAAGTCTCTGGACAGAATTTTTTCGAAAATTCGAAGGCAATTTTTGGAGAATCGACATGATTGTATAAGACAGTGATACTGCACACTTGAAACTCATCTGTTGAATTAATACCGAAATCCACCATGGGAAATTGTTCAATGCTGTATATAGTGTATAAGAAGTAAGGGCACTTGAAAAACACCATATTTAATTATCCGTTTCTGTCATTTAACCAATTGCATCGCTGAAAGATATACTTTTGCGCCCTAGAATTCTTTTCTGAACCATAATAGTTTTTCAGCTCGATCATATTCCATTCCAATTAATATGTCAAGAACTTTTTTTAGACTCCTCGTATGATGCGTGTAATTAAAATGAACCCAGAAGGAATCATATATGTTCGTGATGCAGTCTGTGAAAAAAATTGCGTATGACAAATTGCAGTTCGAAATTTTTCTGCGCATCTTTAACAATACTATTCTTGTTCCTGTACATTTATTCGTGTTTTCAAACTTTCTTCAATTATACGCGCGAAGTAATCTTCATCAATAGTCAAGTCCCGTATGATTTCCAGAGTCATTAAGTCATTGATGCCACGAATAAATTGTCACAGCGAATCCACGTGTGACCAAGATGAACCCAGAAACGGCCATACAATATTTTTTAGTGATGCAGTCTATTGCAAAAAGAAAAATTCCATTCGCAATGTTTCTGCGCCTCCTTCACAAATATTATTCTTGGTACTGTATTCTTCGTATCCAATGGGTCCCTGACATTCTCGGCTTTCGAATTTTCCAGAACGAATGCTGTGTGGAAACGGATTGCCGATGTTGTTGAAGCTCAAGGATTGGCCACCCGGAGCCGACTTTGCCGACGTGATGCCCGACCGTTTCCGAGATGTGATGCAGGCCCTTCCGATCCCGCCTTTTACGCGACGGGATGGCATAATGAACCTCGCCTCGTATCTTCCGTCGCAATTCCTGCCTCCTGATCTGGGCCCGAAGATGTACATTGCCTATGGGTCTGCTGGAAACCCCATGCTTGGGACGACTAATTTGCATCTGGATATATCCGACGCAGTGAACGTGATGGCGTATGTCGGAAGCAGCGGCGAACTGCAGGATGAATTGAAAAGTTGGTATCGCGTTTTATTCTAGGAAACCCCATGCTTGGGACGACTAATTTGCATCTGGATATATCCGACGCAGTGAACGTGATGGCGTATGTCGGAAGCAGCGGCGAACTGCAGGATGAATTGAAAAGTTGGTATCGCGTTTTATTCTAATGATTTTTGGAAATTATTATTGTAAAGTCAACCATCGTTCTTTTGCTTATTTGTCATGGGCTTTTAACCTGACTCATCGCATGACTCGGCTTACGACAATATTGAGCTATTAACTGAAACACTCATAAGCCGTGCCAGTAAAAAAACCGTTCGCAACGTAAATGAGCGAACCACGGCTAACATCATGTGGTTTAAACGAACTTCCTTGTATCAAATTTTTGCTTACAACGAATGTTTTAAAGGTCGTCGCAGTTCAGACGCCTCGTCTTTGACTTCCCGTTCTGAAACATTTCCATTATGAAGGATTTTTTTGGGTCCCAATGACTTTGATTCAAAAACCTTCTGTCTATAAAGCCAAGCCCAACTTATTCTATTTATAATTTCCAAAAAAAAAAGTTGAAAAAGAAAAATTGGACATATATGCGGACTGACCGAGAAGAAAGGGTTACACAGAGGAGAGAATTGTAGACTGATCTTCAAGTCGCCCTGTTTTAAAATCCGTGACTGCCAAAAAGCTGAAATTAGCCACAACAAAAACTGAAACCAATTGCTCCCGAATATTCACTTCCCTGTTATCCGCCTTATTATGGACGTGAATAAGCGTAATCTGAAACATTCTCTAACTTTTTTTCGGTAACTGAAAAATTAAAAACAAAGAAGGCTGCGAAGCCGAATTTGAACTTGAGAGAAATTTTGACCTCACTTACGTTCAGATACAGGTGGACTCTCTCTGAAACTAAATTCAGTGGACCAGAAAAAAATGCGTTGTAGAGAGAATTTTTCTGTTGAACCATGATGTCTATCGGACAAAAAAATACCGAGGCAATAATTTTTTAGAGAGTCTACCTGTACTATTGCATGTGCAGTACAGTATATATTTACTTTGAAAATCGTGAAACTCCGAGTTTTTAATTTTTGTGTGCTTGCATTTTCCCAATTTTGGCGAAGGAAGAAAGAAAAATCGTTTCTGTTACAGATTGAAGAAGATCTGTCAAGCTTATGATATTTTAGATGGTTTTATTATATTTCTTCGTACAGTATTGGTATTTTCTGGAGTTCGTTGCATTTTGATGAGTCTGTATGAGGATATGGTGAATTCGGTAGAATTATGAGATTTTTTGTTATGCAACATTAGATTTAATTAGTCAACGTTCAGTTATGTGAGGATAGACTCCGTTGTGTTATTCGTGGTCAACTTCGTGATTAAACTGACTCTTCCGTGGTATTCGAGAAGGGAAGGTCGTGCGTCGAAGTGGATTGAACTGCTTGGTCCATACCGTAATTTTGGAAAATGAATCGGAATCGTTCCGGAAAAATGTAATCTGACGCCTGTCCATTAAAAGGACCAGGTGAATAAGTCTTCGGTGAGCCCGCGAGTACAACCGGCCTCATCTAGACAGATGCGACCTTCGGTATTTACTTTGGCTAGCTAATGGGCCTCGGGACACCGTATAAATACTCCGCTAAGATGCCCCCGTGATTCGGCGATTTTTGCGAAAAATCGCCGCCGAAAAGGGACATCGCGTCAAAGCGGATTCGGATCCGATCCATGACCAACAAACGTATCTGGACGACACACTTCGGGAGAGGCTGCGCGAGGAATATGGTGTGCTCGGTTATGGCTTTGTGCAATGTCTGGGCGACGCTGTTTTCATCCCTGCCGGTGCTCCGCATCAAGTGAGAATCATGATCTTTTTTTTAGTTGTTTTTCTTGAAATTTAAATTTATTGAAGAGCTTTTTTCCCAAATATTAGCGAACTTGAAAATAAAAAAATCGTTGTAATAATACAGATAACGCAGAGATCAGTCCAAGAATTTACTCACCTCATGATCATCTGCCTGTTTTTTTTTGAAATTTAAATGAATTGTAGATTTATTTTTTTAATTTCCGCGAACGTACGAAAAAGATGCCTGGCAATAATACGGATTATATGGAGATCAGTCTAAGAATTTTAGTCACCTGCGAACTGTCGACGGAGATGGTTAATCATACGTTTTTTAGTGTTCCCGTCATCTGGGAGTACAATAATCCCAAATTTGTTAAACCCCTCAAGCTCCAAAAAAGATGAGAGAGGAAAAGATACAGCCAACCCTGGTTTTAGTGCCACCCTCGCATAGTGCCACAAAATTTCCTGGAAAAAATCTCCCTCCTTTGTGTTCTCAAGGGAAGCCCCAATTTAGTGCCATGAGAAATCTGTATGGATGAAAAATGTGCCGAAATCAAAGAAATTATGGCATTTTTCTATGGATGTCATTGGTTTATAACTGAGATTCAAAAATCGGATCCTTCTGAAAATTCTATTTTTACATTTACATTCTTGAAAAATATTATTGTTCTTTCATGAAATCTTGCTTCATTAAAAATTTTGAAAAGTTTAACCTTTCCTGGAAACAGTGGCGATTCCTTCTTGATGGCATATGATGTAAAACTCAAATGCAAACAAAATCCCAAGACGCAGTTCAGCTCTGCCCTTTTCTGAAAAATAATATGTGTACAAATCTGTTAACTGTATTCTGTTTCAATACATTAAAAAAAATATAGAATAAAAACCAGTATATTTAAGCTTTGAATTATTTTGTGCCTTTCTCTCTCATATAACAGACTCAGTGGCCTAAACAATTTTGTAAACAAGCTTATTTTGCCTAGAATGGAAACCCTCAACTCAACCTTCCCCTCTTAAAATACCCTCGATTCATTGCCACCCTTGCTTTGTGCCACAAAATGTTCCATGACAAAGGGCGTCACTAAATACAGGTTTGACTATGAGCTGATGAGAAACTAGGCGTAATTTTATATTTGGACACTTGGCTTTTTCTCATATTCGGAATTAGTCAGACTGCGACGACATAGGACTTGAGCTGTCCTAAAACTTCTTGAACTCTGTAAAAAAAATTAGGTGCCGACTCAACGACGGATGTCTTTCTTGTTTAATTATTGTTGCTGCTTGAAGCACCTTGTGATAGTGTAAACAGTGCATCATTCACTGTCCTAAAGTCGTAAAGTACTTAACCATTAAAATTTGTGTCAATTTTCTGATAAAGCTCGGTTTCTTCTGTTTATCTTCCGAACATGTAACGTAAGATAAAATAAATAACGAAAATTTTTCTGAGGGTGAAATGTCTTCAACAAAGGTTAAATCTCTTCGCGAACTTCATCGACGCACACACTGGATAACACATTTATTCAGTTCTTATTGTAAAGTGAATACACGGTAGGTGGGTATACTACAGTATTTGGATGAATGATGTTCGATTTCTGTAGCATTCCATTACTGTATTGTCAATACTTGATGTACGAGTTGGAGAAACTTCTTCATATTTTTAGTGAGTCACCCTAAATGTGCCAAGAGCGAAACAGTGCGGTTTATTGATTTCCGAAAATCAGATACTGTATCCTTGAAGTTCTGTTGAATTTAGCGCGCATACGAATTTTTTTTTTTCGTTGAAGAATTTCGCTCATTTTGTCTCATTTGTCTCAATTCCGCTCATTTGTCTCATTGAAAACTAGATGTCACGAGGTTTCATTGATCGCGAACCTCCTTTGTTGTTTTTCATTTTATTTATTTTTTGAATCTAGGTCCGGAATTTGCTGAATTGTATCAAAGTTGCCGAAGATTTTGTTTCGAGTGAAACCCTGGAGAAGTGTTTCGAGTTGACGAAGGAATTCAGGCGGCTGTCGGCCGCTCATGCGAATCGTGAGGACAAATTGCAGATCAAGAACATTGTTTACCAATCGATAAGGCAGGCTTTGAGCGTTTTATTGCCTGAAGTTTATAAAAAGAACTAGCTATTTGCCGTGATCTGTTTTTTTTTAATTTAACGTTTTGGTACTTTTTTTAAAAGCATGGACGACCTGTGCTCAAATTTGGCATTTTTCGAAAGTTCCGAGTTGTTTTTTTTTTTCGCCCGGTTGAAATGCATTTTCGTCTATTGAGAAAATTGCTTTGAAATTTCAATGACCCATATTTAGTACAAGGTGTTTCACGCGCTACTAGACCTGCAAATAGTTCGCGTGTCAGATCACGATTTTCTCTGCTCTGAAACTTTCAAAAAATTGTTTCATACCTTTCCCAGGCGTCAAACAAGTGTACCCTTTTTGCGCCGTGTTTAGAAAAGCAAATAATGTTTATAACTAACCAAAATATGTATGTATTTGTGATCCTAGTAGCGTGTGAATCACTTTGAACTCTCCCTTGTTTCAACAATTTTGTGTGAATTTACGATTTTCTTGTCTCTCAGACGATTCTATTTGTTTGTGTGTTTGTGGGGATTGATTTTGGGCCTGCAAACATGCAGGTGAGTCAATTTATTTTCACGTCCGCATTTGGAAACGAGTGGATTAATTGTGAGTTTTACTCTAGAGAACGGAAAAACATCTGGATGCAGCGTTGGACGCGATGATCCAACGCGTCACGGATTTGAAGAATGCCATAGCTCAAGTGATCGCTAAAATTGATGTCGAACGTGACACGTTGAAATGGCCTTCATTACTCGACAGTTACGGGCTTCTCACTGGCGAGGTTTGATTATTTATTTATTTTTCGAGGTAATTTATTCGAACGTCTCTCACAAACTCTACGATATTCTGTCACGTTTTTTTTGTAGCTGAACTCATTGTTGAAGACCATCAAGAACGAGAAGACGCCGTTGTTGCGGAATTACGTTTCGCTTCCGTTGATGCTGAATCCCGAGAAAGACGACGCCTTGCTACAGTTGACTGACAACAGGGTCCCGTTTTTCAATCATGATAGTGTTCCGTGTTTGCTTCGAACTATACCTGAACCAGGTGTTGAGCAGTATCAACAGCAGCTTGAATCGAGAATGAACCAAGGAAATCTGGAAACACTTCAGGTTCGTTGAATTCCCCGATTGCGATTATTTCTGAAACTTTTTCGTCGTGCGGAAAGTATCGAAGAAATTTTATTCGAATAAAAGTGATGTCTTGATTTCCACGCGAAATTTGCGGGTAATTATTTCAGAATTGTCAGTAAAGTCAATTAGCTATTGAAGATAGGAATTGAAATTTGTGTACAGTATCTTCTCAATTGCAAAACTTGGTTTTTTTGGATACATTGAAAGACGGTTCGGGTCGATGTGCGCTGAGAACCCTGATAAGATTGTAGAACATCTTAATTTGAAAATCAGGCACTGGTGAAGTTAATTGGTGATGCGTGTTCGGCTGAACAGTTCAATCGGGAGAGAACTTCGGAAAATACTGACGACGGCAAGTCACGCTTTTTACCTGATCTGATTATCGGAGTCCAAACTACAATACAATATTTGAGTTTCACTCGAACTTCTGCGTGAAAAACTGAAAGTATTCGAATGCGCGTGTGAAAGCAAGACGCCAAAAATTATCTTTACAGTAAAATCAAGTACAAATGGGCTTGATTACTAATTTCATGCTTCCTTTTCTTACAAAAACACTTCGATTTCTCCAAGAAAGTTATGGAAAATGAGCTCTTTACACCTTTTCAAATGAGCGTGGATTAGAATTATCTTTCTATAAGAAAAAACGTGATTTTGTTGAAATAGATTCTGCTATTCTCTGATGAATTTAGGGAGACAATCGGTGCGTGAAAATGCTTGTGTGTTGAGCCAACAAGTTACGTGATTAATATTTTTCCTCAGTTGAATTTTTGGGTGAACTTCCCTGATTTCAGCTTTTAAAAGTGTACCTCTCTCCGGCGGAATGTTTCATTTTTCAACATTTATCTGCACTTGAAATTTTTTTCTCAGGTGGAATGTTTCATTTTCCAACATTCATCTGTCCAAAAAAAAAATACAGTGTCTGAATGTCGGCGTGTGTCAATTCGTTCTTCTGTTCTTACGTCCGATCTACTAATTTAAAACAGTGGGGGGAAATGTGAGCGCTGTAATTGAATTAAAATGTTGCATAAATGTCCATTTGCAGAAGCAGATAAACACGATGAACAAGATTTGCGGCCATGTGATAGATTCTATCAACAATCATACCCAGGAGAGAAGTGGTGGGATCCCTGCACCTCAACAGACTTCAAATATAAACGATACCCACATGCTGGTGGCTGCAGTTGGGATTGGAAGAGGTCTGAAAGTTGCCCCGATGCAAATGCAAGCCCCTGACCCGGGCCCGCCGCGGATCGGACCTCCTAGACCCATGGGCATGATGGGTCCCGGCCAACAAGGTTCGTTTCAACTTCTGAAGTCTTTTATTTTCCATTTTAGGGCTGAGAACATAACTTGTGAGATGAAATGAAATGCAAAAAAAAATTATTCAAGCCGATGTGGGTCAGGTGAGCTTAACTCAGTGTACTTGAGTAATTGAACAATTATTGAAGATTGTTTCACGGTAGCAGCAACATATTTAAAAAAAAATAATAAAAATAAACATATAACCCTTTTTTGTCATGTTTTCAAATGTTGATTATTCATGTTGTGACTGAAATTGAGCATTGATGTTCCTTTTTTTGTGATGAAAAAATGTCTTGCATGGCGAAAAAATCGCTGCTGCTGCCGCACAAAAGCATGAGATAATTCACGTGAGCTCAACTGCGTATGGTTTGAAAATTTGAAATGATGCAATTCTTAGATTTTGTGTGTGAATCTTGAGCTTGAACAGCTAAACGAATCTATTAAATCTATTGGGATAAACTAATTGTGAGGTCACGATCCGACGGATCTGAGAAGTTGAAAAAACAACGAAGACTCAGAAAAGGGTTTGCTCTTCGAATATCAGAGTAATGTTTACCGCTTTTTCGGCGGAGTTTTTCTTCATTTTTTAACTTCACTCTCTAGGGATCAAACGAGACGAAAATAATGTAAAATTGGGGCATACATTTTCTTATAGATGAAATATGCGGCAACCTGATAAGCTTTCTTGTTTATTCTCCCACGCCTTCTGAGATCGTGTCAACCCGCGATAGAAAACGGAGCAAGTTTGACGAAACTAAGATTTCTGCGGAAATGTCGTAGAATTGAAGTGAACAAATAATCTTTTATTTTTCAGTGCCAATGAAAATGCCGAACATCAGAACCAATATACGTGGGTTGACTACTCCGTATAATCGCTGATTTCTTCGGAATTCGCTGTTGTCTCAAATGGATTCGCATTGCTGCCAAATCAAGTTATTTTTTTCCCTGCAAATGTGAAAATGTATTCCGATATTTTTAAACCTTATTCTGGAAAGCAGTTCAAGTGAAACGGTTATTCTCGTGTGGCATCATTCGCAATTGCTTTTTTTGATGCGTACTCTTTTGTGGAATTATTTTCAGCATATATTTTTCTAAAATTCTCGAAAATCCGTTGAAAAGGCTTTGCGCGAAACGAATATGGCTTTCAACCACGAACCCGGGACTTCCATGAAATGTTTGAGCGTGAGTACATCGTATTCCATTGACATGGATTATCGCTTCTTCTACGATTCCATTGGTCATGATTCGGTTCTCAGATTCCGATCAAGTTAGTGAAGGATCAGATGATTGATGCCGAAGGACGCGAAATTCGTCGTTGCGGATTCAAAATCGGCGGTGGAATCGACCAAGACTTTACGAGAAGTCCCCAGGGTTACATGGATAACGTTCGTAGTTTTCTGAAGTGTCTTCTTTCGTAGAAAATTAGTCTAAATGAGTTTTTGATCGTCATTTGAATTATCAAGATTAAATTTGTCGTTATTCTTCAGTTTTAATACGTTTTTAATTTCTCTCCTTTTTTAGCGTATCTGAATTTGCCTTTATTGGAAATTTTGGAAAGACAATGGCAGTTGAAATTATTTAAAAAAAAAAAAAAAAGTTGGCTCTTCTCCTAATAACACTGACAAATTTTCATCTGCTGAAATAAATCATTTCAAGTTTTTATCCTGAGAAACCTTTCATCAAGCCCACCTTTTTAATTTTAATTTTTTTAGAACATTCCACTGTAGCTGCTTCATTGGTTTTTCACTTGATTTTTGCAAAAAGCAGAACATTTTCGAACACCTGTCATAAAGTCTTCAAAGCAAAACTTTCTTTTGGTCTGCAAATATTTTATACAACTTTCCCAGTCCACATTCATTTTTGGGAAAGTTGCTGGTTCACCAAAAATGTTATGTAAATTTGCTGGTCTGTGGGCCCAAAAAGGTTGGAATACTGTGTTGGATAATATATTTATCAATTGCAAAGAACTGAGAGGTGTGAATGAAGACATTAATCTGGAAGGAAGTGTTGTATTTTTCCCACATGTACTTCTTGGTTCATTTTATTTATTTATTTTTTAACGCAAGCCGCACAGTAGTAAAAAGACAAGTTCAATGCAAGAGACATATATTTGAAGTACAGTGGATTCACGATTTTTCATCTTAATTTTATCGAAGAGACTTGGAAATTATGAGATCTTCAACTATCCGTTGTGGAAACGCTTTGCTGTATTTATTCTCCATTTCCACAAAATTTCAGTCTGAAATGTGTTGAAAACGATAAATCTCGATACAGTACCACGAATTTTTTTCACAGGTCCGTTTGAGTTTTGTAATGGGATTTCACTGTACAGTTTGATATATTTCCTCAGGGCATTTACGTTACCGAAGTTCACGAGGGCAGCCCGGCTTCAGAATCCGGCTTGAAGGTACACGACAAAATCTTGCAGTGCAACGGCTACGATTTCACCATGGTGACACACAAAAAGGCTGTGAGCTATATTCAAAAACACCCAGTGCTAAGTTTACTCATTGCCCGGAAGGGAGTGACACATTCGTAACCGAACCAAGAAAGCAAGAGCTTCTTATTTGGAATAAGTGCATCGTTATTGTTATTACTTATTTTTTTGAATGCTAATCATTTCTGGAATCAATGCTGTACATTGTGAGCTTGTGGACTCTGTGGGCATGCGTGATCGACTGTGGAGCTTGTTTATAAATTGGATCGGAATCATTTTGTGGTTCTCGTGTATGGAGAGAATATTGATTCGTGTTTTTTTTTTAAATTGAAATCGAGGAGTTCTAACGTATTACAATAATTTTTATTTTAAATTTCAGAAAGATTCAGTTGCTTTGTTTGTCATCGATGGTTCGGGCTCGTGAAGGGTACGCTCCCGTTGAGATGGAAGTCCACTCTTGCTGTTCATCCAAAGCTGCTTGCGTCATCGTAGCAGTTTTGGACATGGTAAATTTTTTCATGCTTATTTCTTTCTGGACATAAATGATTAATCAGCTAATATGGTCTTTAATACTGATTATTTTATACTGTATTATTGTACCTTTACTGACTTCAATGGACGCCTTTTTTTTATAAAATGAGTTATTCAGAAATGAGTTTCTTATAGAGGGCGTCTGCTAAGTGTAAGATGAAAAACTAGTGAAAAAGAGAAAAAACCTTTGAGAAGATTCCGGTTCTTTTTGTTGTTGCTGTTCTCTCAGTTCCTCTTCAGGGACATTCAATTCTTTACAGATGCTCGATGATTCTTTGTACTGTTCAGCACTGGCGGTTGGATAAGTTTAGACTAATTAGTGGTGGTGTTTAATAACAGTTCTTTGGTTTAGCTTTTTGTTCGATTCTTCGAGTGTAACGTTAGGTTTGCTGTGCATTAGAAAAGATAACTCGATGATCAGGTTAGTGATGGTTCACGTTTTTCTTCAGTTTGTCAGTCGTTGCTTTAGCTGCGTCTTTTTATTTTTAATTAGGTATAGCTAAGGTTTTTTATTTTCAATTCCGCGCACCATTGTGAAGTCCAATTTTCTCATTGAATGTACGTTGGCAGATAACGGATTTTATAACATTATCTCGTTCCGTCTCACTTTTTTCAAGTGATTGATTTTGGTGTCCTGAAAACTTTTTTGCTTGACTAGTTTGGAATAACTTTCTGATATCCTCAGTAGGGATCCACGATTGGGGCTCAATTGACCAAGAAGGGTGACAGATTCTGTGTTTATTTTTCAGTTGTCGAGTTGTTCAATTTTGGCTGCAGTTTTATGGCTAGTCACGGTGTCTGAGCCTCAGATAATCGGCGCTATTCTCAATCTAAGTAAGTTCAAACATGAATCGAATTGATGCGATTTATTTGTATGTCTCGTGATCTTTTAAAATGGAATTCACAGACCTGTGGGGCGTTGCCATGTGGTTGGTTTTTCGATCGATCGTCAGTTTCTTCACGTCGACGCTAATGATTATCGCAGTTGCCAGGGTAAGGTTTTAATTGTGCCTTTCACAATTTTTGTTCATTGTTTGAATATGGGAGTAATCATTTATTTTTTTTTTAGGGGAACGAGTTTCTGATGTTGCCTTGGCTGGTTTCTGCGGCCGCGTCTTTTTTTGGTGGAGCAGTTGTAGCTATTGCGGCACCTCTTGGACTAGTGCTGCTTCGTGTTTCAGGACAGGACGACAGTTATGGTGAGCTAAAATCGTTCAGAAACCAGAATTTCAAGTGTAGGCCACGTTCTATTCGTAAAATTTAGAAAGGGCTGGAACTGTAAAACTGAGATGCTTTCTATTCTTGGAATCAAGTTGATGGAAAGCGGTCAAGTCTTGGAAAAGATGCGGCGAACGAAAATCCTGTTGTAGGGACGTCATCCATGAGATTTTTTCTCAAGTTAATCCTTGATTTATTTTTGCTTGTATTTTTGATCGAGTCTCTTGTAATTTTCAAAGTTCTGCGTCAGCTCAAAAAACGGCGTCTAATTGCTGTTCAATGGGTGTACTGGTCGCATTTTCTTCTCCAATATTTTCGATTGTTGTCCAATTGGAACCCGTACTCTTTTTCGCTGTCTTCAAATGTCTTTGAAAATCAAAGTGCAATACGTAATCACGTAAATACGACGTATTGATTCTACAGTACTTCCAATTTGTTCTATATATATTTTTTTAGCTGGTCCTGATCCTAAGCTCTTGGTTGGATCGTGCATCCTGATCAGTATCGGAGTGGCCATTGCGCTTTGCTTGTACTTCATTCCACTCTCGCACTATCTAGTGAGTACAGTATACCATGATCAAACTGGTTTTTCTCAGGGTATTTTAGCTAGTCCTCCGTCTTCACCGATAAAAAGAAAAAAGGAGCAACATATTTTCCCCCCTGTTTCAATTTTTCTGATAGGGAATGCTGCAGTCGTTTTTTGCTCTAGTTCTCAAGTTTTCAACCGACTTGAAAAATCGCAAGAATGTAAAAAGTTGAAACAGTTGTGCCTCTGTTCACATTGAAATTCCTGAGCGATTAAAAAAAAATTAAAATGGAAGATAATCTGGGAAGTGTTTGGAGCTCAAGCGAAATCTCCTTCAACTGAGGCCAAATGCATTCATTGCTTTCAAATATGAAATTCTTGCTGTTCGCATTAACATTTGTGACAATTTGCCTGATATTTTTGGGTTTGTTCTGGAGATACTCTTTCTCAACGTGAGTCATCGTAGAAGTAGATTTTGTGGCTTCTTTGAGCAGTTCTTGAAACTTTTGAAAGTACTTTTGGAGCGCATATTTCGACTCGGTAATACGAGTTATGTGTATTCTTTGTCTAAAAAAAAACCGTTCTATGTGCAGTAAAATTGTCGACACTCTCACATCAGATAACTTGATTCATTAATTGAAGAATTTCTGATAATTGTCATTATCTCACTGTTTATTTCTAATCGGAAATGTGAGCTCTCGTCAAATATTTTTTTATGGGAATGCTTAGATTCTGCTGAAACGATCGAAGAAAATGAAACAACTGCCGCAAAACCAGGATTCAATGCAGTCGATGTTACCCCTCCTGCGTCTTACTCACGATCGTACCTGAACTTGAAACGTCTCGTTTGCAGCCATCATCCTTATCTCATTTTCAAGGATGTAGCTGATGCATGCATTCATTTGCCTCAAAATGCCAAGAAAATATGAGGTATATCGTGTGGCCTGAAGAAATCACGCTACAACAGTCACTTGGTGGAATTTCCGATACATGCGAGGGAAGGCCAAAAAAATTTTGCGCTATGTTTTGCATGCATTTTTTCAAAAAATTGCTCCTCTTTGTAATTTCAGTCTTTTTTCTAAGTGGAAAGTCTGAATAATGCTCCATAAGAGACTCGAAAATGAAAAAAAAAAAATTGTGTTGAAACGATCAACATATCTTTTGAGTGATCTTCATTTTGAGGTCA